ACGTTTGTCTTACAAAGCTTCAGCTTATTGTACCTTCACATAGTGTAGCCATTCCTGTAAATGCTTTCTTGAATCTTGAATGTATTAATCCCCCAAAAGGCAATAACTGCTGTACGCCGACATTATACTTTTGATGTGAATTAATATGCTTTCATTGTGGTTTTCTTGACTTTGGCCTTATACAAATGTGTTATAAATTGCTCCAATTTCTTTCATTTTCTGTATTAAAACACACTTCCGTAGTTATTTAGGGATTCCTTGCTTGTTCTTCAAGTTGTTGTCCTTGACTTGCTTGAAGGAAATTCGTACGGCCATTATTTTTTAACCGATTCCAAGGAAAATCAAAATGTAAGAACCATAAAATTTAAGTCTTTCGAGGAGGAAAAGGTTGCCATGTTTCTCACGTCCTTCGTTGTGCACGAGTGGGTACAAATCCTTATTTTGAGTCCAGTTTGAAATTCACGTGCAAATATTACCTGTTCAAAAAGTGCGCTCAAATTGATGTACAGCATCATTGTTTTTCCTTGAAATCAGTTAAGTTTGTTTTAAAACATGCCCTTATTTGATCCGAATGATTTTTAAAAGCTTTTAAATGTCAAACCAATCCCCGCCAAGGATAAAGTTGACTAACGGTCAGTGGTCACCTGAAGGGCTTATGCATCTGTGTGGGATTAGGAATGAAACCTCGTGATTGTGCAGAATTTGGCCAGTGTATGGTCACCCTAATGGTAAGTAATTATGAAGCATGCTTCTGAAACATTTTTCACTGGGCAGCGCTGGGGAGGGGGGTGTTATTTAGTTCAAAGATTTTTTTTTAGAAACTCATAATCTCAGTGGGGGGGGGGGGGGGGGGGGGGCGACTGGGGGCGCAAAGTTTCGGGGGGGGTGGCTACGCCAATGTCCCACATGCGACGGTCTTTATCTAACTAATGTCCAGTCATATAGAGGTAGGCAAACTTGGTCGGTTATGTATGTCGGTGGACCATGCAAGCCTCATGAAGTTTACACAGATTTTCGCCAATGGTCACCTAATGGTCAGTAGCGGTCATTTTCTTCAAATTTACAAAAAATGCTTCTCCAACAGTCTTCGTCCAATGAAGGTCAAACCTGGTCAGATTCATCTGTGGACCAAGCCTCATGTAGTATGTGCGCAGAATTTGGCCAGTGGTCACCTAATGGTCAGTAGGGGTCATTTTCTTCAAATTTACAAAATGCCTTTTCTCTCACGATCTTAGTGCAATTAATATCAAAGTTGGTCACCTACATCACTGGACCAAGCCTTATATATAGTAATCACACAATTGGTCAGTGGTCACCTAGTGGTCAGTAGGGGTCATTTAAATGAACCATGTCAATTTCGTTTTTGACAACCTTGTGTAAGTACATCGTTTAATTGTTCAATAACATCGTTTGCCGTCCATTTCATCCTAAGCCCATGGCCTGTCGGGTTCTGGGCAGATTTCAGGCAATGGTCACTCGATGGTCATTCCATGGAAATGACGTTCTTTTGATTTCTCCACGTATTTCTAAAATTCAGGTCCTTTTTTTATTCATTCGAGTCTTTATACCCCAAAAATATTATTATCGAGGTAAAACGTCCAATTGCTTAGTGGTCAGCACCGGTATAATTCCATTTGGCTGTTATGGGGCATTGTGAATTTGGTCCTTTATAAAATTTAATGGGTGAAAATTAAAAACCATGAAGTGTCTATATATTATCTAAAAAATATGTTGTCCCACATTCCACTTTAAAAATCAATATAATACAAACATGAAATGAAATCGATATAATTGTTGCAGCTGCGCTGCATGCCTTGCTTGAGGGCGCGCTTCAGTTTCTTGCATTCGCTTGAGGGCGCACTTTCTGCCGTGACCGCGCGGCTGACTCCACCGCTAAAAGTGATTTTCAGGGTTCAAAACCAGCATTTTCATACACAAATAGGGGTTCAGAGATACTCGGTTGGGTAAGTGATTATTCCGTAAATTGTTATTTGACTGAGGGATATAGATTTGGGGGCATAAATGTACTTATTGGGTAAATATTGGGTCTTTTTGATGGGCTTTCCTGCATGTTTTGATACAATCTGTTATTATACAAGTTATTGTAGGAACATGGACTCATCTGATCGCCGTTATTACCTGGTTCTCATTTGTATATGTGTGTTGTTTCACCTTACTGATAGGCTAATTTAGGGATGATAATTATGGCAATTACTCCTGATTACCTCATTGTTTATTCTCCATTTCCCTTTCTAATTAAAGCTCACATTAAAAGGGAGGGATAATCACCGAAGCTGTTCGAGGTGTTATCGGGAGGGTGTTTTACTGTTTGTACAACTGCTGTTCAACTGTCTTGGCTGTACAACTGTATCCCGATCATCCAGTGTATCCAGTGTAAGCAGATCATCCAGTAAACTATACTGCTAATAACTCATCTCCGTGCCCACTGGTGCCCATATACCTGTACACTGAATTGTTTGTGCAGGAAAATAAAGATTGAAGTGAGCAACCATACAAATTGGATTGAGTCTACAATAATACAAACATGAAAAGTCATCGTTTTCATTAATTAAACGAAATATGCAATCCCTGAAAGAGGATGGATTTTTGTTTCCCTCCCGAGCCACAGAATAACCAAAATAGGGCGCCCTCTTTTGACGCAGGCCATGCAATGGCAAGAAGTCATCAAAAAGAGGAAATGCCCTTGATTTGTTAATCAGGGTTGTTTCGAACATTTGTAGGGGTTGTTTTCACTTACATTTGATGAATTTTAGAATAAAGTCGTCTGCTGTTCATATGAGCCATATTAAAAGCAGTTTTTAGCGACCTCAAGAAAATCTTCCTGGCCACACAATGACACTTTCTTGACACGTTTCAGTTGATAAAAAAAAATGAAAATGACGTCTTAGAAAATACTTCTTTGAGGAAAAAAAATATAGACTTGGCAAGAATCAAACAGAGATAGGACAAGTGCAGTGGGTAGCGCATAAAAACGTAACGGAGCGTTTAATTTGTGAGAGCCACATAATGACCACCAAAAATCGTCAAATTGCCATATCGACATGGTGTCTGGAAAATGCTCATCAATTTTAATTTAATGACCCAAAATTGATTTTGATTAAAACATTTTCATGATTGATAATTGTTTTATCATTTACAGCAAGTTTTTAGCCAGATTTTGCACATCTGACATAATTGCAGTGTCAAGAGTAAAATTGCACTTTGCGTGAAAAAAAAAATACACGATCAGAAGAAAATTTGAGTGGGGTAGTATAGTGCTTGAAAGCGTTTTTTAGAAGAGTATTTTCAAGCAAAATTGTTCAGAAATGCAATTTTATCAACGGGAATTCACTCCTTTGTGACATTCTCGCCTCCTTTCTGTATTTTTAGATTGAACATTTTGATAAAGGCCTTGTTTTCAGCAAGAACCACATAATGAGAAAATTCTTGCCCATTTCTCCTCCCACACAATTGCTTATTGTGAGGTTCGTGCATTTTACATATAAAATCTGTTTAATGCAATCATTTCAAAGAAGATTAAACAAAGGATCTTCAATCATGTTTGGAAAAGCAAATACATGACTGGTCTGGTGTTGTCTTCATTGTGAAAAAACTGGGCTTGAAGTCCTGGTAAAAGCCAAGTCCCCCCCCCCCCCCCACTGAGATTTAGAGTTTCTAAAAAAATTATCATTGATATACATGACGCCCCCATACCCCCCCCCCTGAAAAATGGCTGCACTGTAAAAAATTGCGTTATTTAACGGTTGTTTTTCTGTTGAAATTTCTGTAAATTGACAGTAGATGTTACTGTTTTCAGATTTTTCTGTAAATCTACAAATTTGCTCCTGCCTACGTACAGTTTTCTCCAATTCTCTGTTTGGTTACTGTATATTAGCTGTTAAACTAAAATTCTGTGGACGCACAAGGAACATCATGTTTTGAACAAGCCCCCGTTCTGACTCTGTAAGAACACAGTCACCTCGCTGTCGGTCAACAGAGAATCATCTTTTTTGTACAGGGTTCGGCCGTATCGCGTGATTTTTTTCACTGGTAGGCGGTAGTAGTGCAACGTTACTGTGGCATAAACGCTGAAGGGTACCAGGATGTTGTCAAGGAAGGCGCGCGCGGGAGTCGGACTATACAGTACCATACAACTTACCGTTGCGTCCATGCGTATGCGTACGGTAGCATCTTGGAGCAAATTTACTGATCCGTTTCTGCTTACATGTTTGCATTTGTATTGTAAATGACTATTACTCTCAAGGAGAAGCGCTATATAGAAGCGCTATATAGAAGCGGTTTCAGTTTGTAAGCCTGATTGTCAACGACAACACATTTGAACTTTGCCTGGTTGTCATTGCAGCATGACTCGCCGCCGTAAGCCAACGTGCAAGTATCTACATTCGAACCTTCATGAGTTTTATCGATAGCACCGCCATTACATGACGTGTTACAAGTATCTGCATGTGAAGTACGTTCATTATACGAGAATATATGTGTACTGAGGCTCACACAGGACCTGTCATTCGCAATCCTCGATACAAACATGAACACTTTGTCGTTTATCGGCCCCCATCAAATAATCACCGTTTAAACAAAAACAACCTTTTGTTCAGCAACAGAGAGTTGTTAAGGAAAAAAAAAACAGCAAATGTGCTGTTAGGTTACAAAACGACAGCACTTAATCATCTGTTGCAAAACAGTAGAATCCCCTGTAATTGAACAATATCAAGTAAAGTAGAATCTGCTGTTAATGTACAGAGAAAAAAGAAACAGTAGAATATACTGTGCAAAAACAGTAACTCCTGTAATGCCAATTGACAATAGAATCAACTGTTAATGAACAGACATTTTTTTAACAGTGTGGCTACGCCACTGTAAAAGCCCCAAACGAAGTTTACTGCAGAAAAAGGGTGTTGAGTGCGGGGTAAACTAGCAAAATGTCAAATATTTTTGCCACACTGATCTACTGCTTAAATAAAGAAACCAATGAACAGGTGTAATTTCATTCGTCGTTTATTTGAGAACTATTGCATTGAATCAAAAGTGTACATACATGGTCTTGATAACAATAAATTATTCTAAACATTATTATTATTAATGAACATCACAGTTTGAAACACCATCGAAATGTATAATGTCACGTTAGGATACTTTTTAAAGGTTCATTTTACATACATTTTATTAATATGGGGTAAAATGCCATTATAACAGAGGTTCGTATAGTAATTGTCCATCATGACAGATTCAAGTTTGCTATAAGATATTACAGATTAAGATATTACAGATTAGGGGTTGACTTTTTGTTAAATTCATATGGCAAAACTTGGAGCTGTCACAAAACATCTAAGAATTTAAGGTTAATGGACTTGCAGTGCTGATACCTAGTGTCTAAGTACTGGACCATGTCCTCCAAAATCCATCACTGACCCAACTTCACATAATGCTTTCGGAATAAGACCACCACTACAGTGGATTTTGATGGACTTGGTACTCGCGGCTTGCCTACCAAAATCCCCCAAATAAGGGGATGGATCATGAGTTGGGGAGGTAGGGGTTAATAATCTTGATAGCTCCACAGGATGAGCATTTGTCCAGCATCAAGTAGTTGTCCATCTGCTTCGTCATCTGGTCACCACAGAAAGGGCTCATCACTCAACTAGCTAGTAAAAACACAGACAGATACATAAATATAGGGGAACGGTAATCAGTGGAACACTCCAGGAGCAAGATTTTAATACACTTTGAGTATTTGTTTCTCAGGTATGAAGCTCTGACATTGTCTTAATGTGTTCTGGAAGTCTACATGTGTATGCTTTTCACTTAATGTCAACAGATTAACAAAAGTTGTGTCCAGCTGAATGAAGAGAAAAGACACTAAACTGATGCTTTTCTCTCAAAATTCTAGTGTCTTTTTTTTCAAATATTTGTTATTACTCACCATGTGTGCTTTTGGAATGTGATGCTCCATCTTGCAACCCTGGTTCAGAAATACTGATCTGTACTCTGGTAGATACCAAATCAGCATGATCCTAGATTGTAAAAACATTCAACATCCATAGCATTATCAAGAAAATGGTAATATAACTTGTTACATAACTTTTGCATCAAAAGGCCTACACAATGGAACAGGCTGGTAATTATGTGCACTGCACAACCGAATGCATGAGGCTTGCAATGTGATTTACAATTATAGGTGACTAGTTGATAAAGGAATGAACGTGTGCTTGGCCAGTATTCAACAAAAACAGAAACAAATGATTTTTCTTTGTTTGTTGCATACCCATATAATTATAAAGCTGGTGTGCCATTTTCCGAGTTCAAGTGGTAGCCAATTAAAAAATAAGCTAGCGGCTATCTTGAAAAATACCCTGGTCAGGCGGCCATTTTGGAGGAGAAAAAAAGGGCCTTGTCCTTCTTATTTTTCAAAAAAGCAGGATACCAAACATGTTTTTCTTTTACCTGGCCTTACAAAACGAGGCAAAAAACTGGGTGATGAGTAATTACCCTTGTGCTGAGTAGATACGTAGTTGGTTAGGTGTTGTACAGCCAATCAGAAGATCGCAAAGTTCCAAGACTTGTCAACACAAACTCCCATCTGTCCTATCATATACACACAAAAACACAAAAAAATGAGGTAGAAGATGAAATATCCAAGCAATAATTTTCCTGGAGCTCAATGCAACATCTCATTTAGGTCAAACGCTTGCCGACAACCGTAACTATATCAAAAAGAATTTAAATCTTTAGGTTATTGCATCAGTATTTTAGGAGTCAAAATTGCATTACCCCCGGACCCCAAATGGTGTATTTTTTTATAAATGCTGAGCAAGACGCGTGCATATTTAAAACATTTTGCGCACTACGCACATACATTGTATGTATCTGAAGCCATTGAATACATAGTACAGTAATTGTCCTATTAAGATGGTGGTCTCGTATGAACCTGATGAAGGAGAGCATAGCCTCCTAATCCTATGCTAGGCAGGATGCAACATTCTTTCTGTAAACATATTACTCATGAATATCGCCATCTAACTTTGTGTTCACTGTTGTACTCATGTACACAACGTAGGCCGGTTTTACATGTTCCAACTTCATGCATGAACATGATGAATATTATTATGAACGGAAATTTGTAGTCACGTCAGGTGCACGTTAACGTTTACATGCATGACATGGTCAACGTCAAGGTTTATACAGCCCCGTAAATGGTCCAATTTACTGGACTACCTGTCAAAAAAGGCCACACCTGGAGCATGCACCCAAAAATGTCGAAGTAAACTATTAACTGTATCACATTTGGATTTTCACATTTGGACTTTTTGTAGTTTATTTACGCTTTTTCTCTTTATAATAATTAAAGTAATCCCCCCTTTTTCAAATGTCTATTCTTCGTATAATTACCAGGTGCGTTTGTTGCACATGTTTGCGTATCTAAATTCTAAATTACACGACAAAAACAACCGTCTGAAATGTGCATAACTACTTTGCATGCTCAGTGTGTGGCCTTTATTTACGAAGGTCATGAGGTAGGGCGCGCCTAGTCCACGTCAAACATGTCAAAGTCAACGTAGACACGGTACTTTGGTAGGAATATGTTGAATGGCTGAAACATAGGTTTACCGAAACAAATTTGCCGTTGTTTAGAACAGTGGGTGACTCACTGCTGCGAAGTCAGGACGAGAAAGCTAAAAAAGAACACGTAATTTCCTACTTTTATTCACGAAAAAAAAGGACGGACATGTAGGCTGCCATGTTGATCTGCACTGGTGTTCTGTTAATGTCGCGTACGATCTGTGGACATAACAAAGGTAACCAGCTAGCATTTTATGTTGTGCTAAACTGGCCACAAGTCACCCGTTCTGCAGTTTAACCGGTGCTGCTGTGCTTTGCAAATTCGGTATAAATTGAGCCCCGTCAGCTGATTCGGAATTTTACTTTGAAAGTCAAAATAAGCTTGGAAAAAAAGGAATAAAAAGGCATACCATCGTAGGACTTTTTGTATTGCTTCTTGCAGATATATTATGAATAACATTTCAAGGGTTAAATATAAAATCTCTGACATGTCCAATGATAATCAGCACGAATTTTAATTTAATCGTGGACTGAGGTAGGATTTTCCCTTTATTTGTTAAAATATGGTTGTATTATTAAAAATTAAGTTTACTTCTGTACTGTGTATGCGTATAAATATACTACAAAGTGACCAATATTTTGCGTACTTCTGCCTGCAGTTCAAAGCGAACTCAAAGCGAACTTGGCAAATTTGTTACGCAATGACAAGACCAAGCCACACATTGAACAAAAATATCTTGCCGTTAATACTGACGGATGATCCACATAATGCTGGTTCCAAGAAAGTGGGATCGAGACAAGAACCAGGAGGGAGATGGGGGTCAAAAAGGAGGTAGAGCAAGAGGTGGAACATATGGGGGAAAAGAAGGTGGAACAGATGGGGGAACAGGTGGGGACGAGTTCTATAAGGGGCGAGCCAAGAAACAGGGGGGATGATGGGAGTGCACAGGGTGTCGATGATTGGGATGAAGGGATGTTAGATATTGAACATTGGAGTTGGGATGAAAGGGACAAATGGGAAGATGAAGTACAACCTGGGGCTGAACAGCAGGGGGAGGAATGGCGGGGGATGGAGGTCGGGATCCTGGATTCAATAGCTGCATTCGGGGCTAGGATCGTTACAAACAGTTACCATCTTCCAAAGACAACCACGAGCGTGTACATGTAGTGGCATGTACACAACGCGCTCTACTTCATAGCGATTCTACAAAAAGCAAAGAAAAAGACGGCCTCACGGCTGTTTCCAAGACTTCCAGATTAATGCACACCAAGTTTAAACTACAAGATATATTACTTAAACATTCTGGAGGAAAAGTTTTACAAAATGAACAACCATACATCTGTACCTGGTACATGTTCCTACTTGCGACAACACGCACATTTTGACTAACAGCAGAATGACCTACGGAAATTTGCACGTAATTGACAGCGTGACCGGTGGGCTATCGCAGTGTGCGCACTACGCTGAAAGTTCCCGGATTCATGCACACCTAACACTGCTAAGGGAATTTTGTAAGCTTCATTTTGATCGGTCATTCAATGGAGGTGGTAAAACTAAGACCCCGTTCCAAGGACCAGACAAATTAATCTTCTCATCAGTCCTGTGGCTGCCATAAAATACGGCGAATATCACTTTGCGACGCTCTACCACTGTGTTGTTACAAAAGTATCAACTGACATCAAGTCACCCACGCGCGATCAGGCGATGGTAGACTTGTACTGACACACACGGCGTATTAACCCAATGCACATGACGTCATCATTTTACACAAAATCTTGATGGCGCCATTTTGGGAGTCAAATTATCGTCTGCTAGCATATCGCGCACGCACGATACACATCACGTCCGATGCTTGTTCGTACTCGTAGAAGAATCGTACCGTACGACGTGCCAATTTGTGTCGCGAATCAATCATATTGACCACTTGCACTTGCAGCATGGATGCCGTGGTCGATGGTCAGTTATCCAGTGCCAGTTCAAGTTCTGAGCCACCTAGTTCTTTGTCGGAAAACGTGGAACAACTTCCTTTGCTTGACAAGGAGAGATACGTGAACAAGCTGGGGAACATTGGAACATGCAATCCATACCTCATCCCCGCATCATGCTGCACACCGTTGTTGAAATCCAACTTGCTACCAAAGCTAGAATTTCCAGATATTTATAAGTACCTCATAAACTTCCCTTCGTCTTACACGGGGGAAGCCATGAAGGCTTACAAAAGTCTAGACGGATACAAGTATTTCATTGCTGGTAAAGTAAATCACTTACTTGTGTGGCACCAGCCAATGAAACGTGACCCAACTACCTCTGTTTTTGTGATTTTGTCAAAGGTGAGTCGTGATTTTTAATTTTATCTTCACTAATCTGGGTCAATCTTTAACAATTGACTGTTGTTTTATCGTTGTAGACCTATATAAAATTAGCTTGAGTAACTCAAGCTGACATGCTCATATTCATTCACATGTAGCCTAGGCTAGCTACATGTGAATGAATATGAGCATGTCAGCTGGAGTTAGCTACATGTGAATGAATATGAGCATGTCAGCTGGAGTTAGCTACATGTGAATGAATATGAGCATGTCAGCTGGAGTTAGCTACATGTGAATGAATATGAGCATGTCAGCTGGAGTTACTCAAGCCATATTATAAGTAATATAAAATATGTATCCGAGTGCCAGTGAGTGGACTAGGCCTACTTTTATTTCTACAATGTCACTGAATGTGAATGTAGGCCCTACGCTACAGTGGCTATAGTAAATGACAGCTGTAAACACAATTTTCAAACTATGGCATTGACTGTAAAAACACAATGCGAGTGTATATTAGAATAGATTAATACATGTAACTGCGCAATGAATCAGAATGTTTTAAAAGCTTGATTAGTTGGTTTCACGTTAGATTAATGAGTCGGGAATCCAGGTTCAAAACCCATGCCACGCTTCTGTTTACTATTCTTTTTATAAATTGATTTGGTTTTATAACTTTTTAGGTTTTTAATCAAACTCTTCCTTTATTTAAGTAGACCTCATTTTTTCTTAGAAGTGAGTGGTGTTGGGAAATGAAGTTGGAGAACCATTTGTTTGATCAGTTTGGTTTCAACAGCCGAGATACATAGTTCTGTTACAATAGCGTTGAAAGTCGCGTTACGGCTAACCTACATTTGTAACAATACATGTAGCCACTTCTTTTTTACAAACTTATGATGACATCAACAGTCGGATACTATGGGGACCCGGTTCCACATACGCGCTGCACATGCCCCAGTAGCGTTTGGCTACACATGTACAATGTAAGTCTGCATCTACCCCTGGCTCTAAATTCTTCCAAGGAGCTGAGATGATCAAAATTCAAAATAAGGCATAGGTTTTTTTTTCTAATTCTAGTAGTCAAAAGGAAAACCTAATACATGTATGTCCTAATTTGAATGTTCCTTTTTTTCTGCCCAGGTACACCATTCACAGAGACTCAATGACCCCCCTGTCAAGGTATGGGTGGCTATCCAAGAGGATGGAGTTGTGATCACTGCGCATTGCACATGCATGGCAGGAGTAACGGAGGTATGCTCTCATGTAGCGGCAACTCTGTTTGCTGTGTCAAAAGGTGTGGAAATGAGCACAACTACTTGCACATCCAAACCATGTACGTGGATTAAGCCAGCAAAGAGTAGATCTAGCGGTGACGACATGTATGCGGAAGCAAGCAACATCAACTTCAGCAAACCCAAAAGGAGAATGACTGAAACCCCAACCACTTTGCCAAAGAGCTCCTGCAAATCTAGATCTGTACCCCCGCCATCTAAAGACGAAACAGACAACTTTTTCCAACAGCTTAAAGGGACAGGTGTACCATCTGCAATACTGTCACTTGTGCCTGCATATGCTGCAGATTTCATCCCAAAAGCTCTGCAATTGAAACTTCCTGAGCCACTGACAAAACTCTACTGTGCAGAAAACCTCAAGGTGTCGTATCCCCAACTACTCACCAAATGTGGAGCTGTTTTCAACAACATGACAATGGATGTGGACATGGTAAGTACATGTACATGCACATGTAAACTGCTGTATTGGCTTGTGCAAAGTTTAGTAAACACAACACTGAGCCTTTTGTGGTAGTGTCAGAGACACAATTAAAGCATTAACCCTCATAGTCAAAATTTCCAGACACTTCCGCTGCTATGCCTTTTACACAGGTAAGTCACAGTCAGATCATAATTTTTTAGTAAGCACTTTGACTAATCAAATTCTGTCAACAGACGACAACAGGAAACTGGTGGCACAGCTGTCTTATCAATCACCTTCAGTAAATCACAGCTGTATCATGCTACATAAACAGTCACAGCTAGTCAGTGGGAGCTCTTTTGAAAACAGTCACTTTATTGATTTTGACTGCAAGAACAACTTGGCACAGAATGTATGTTTGCATAGGATGGTTCAATCAATCGACATGATAAACTAATAATGATGACCTTTGGCACATCAAGAGATTTTGGGGGCGACCCCTGATAACAAGAGAAAAAGATCCTTATTTATATATTCATCATTTTCAGTGTAATGCAATTGAGGAGCTAACCCGTCAGCAGGCAAAGAGCAAGATGTGGCATATCTACCGAGCTGGTCGAATAACTGCATCCAAGTTCAAATCAGTAGTGTGTACAGACCCTGCCATGCCATCAGCGTATTTGATCAAATCAATCTGTTATCCAGCTGCATACAGCTTCAGTACTGCTGCAACTCGGTAAGTTTACAACTTTTAAAGTTTGTATGTTATAGTAAGTGTGAGTGGTCATTCTGTGCTCACTATTAAATGATGACTTAACCCTAAAGGGGCCGGGGGGGGGCAGAATCGAGAGAAAAAAATTTCGGGACCGGAGCTTTTGTGACTTTTTAGCCTCAAGCCTTGCGCATCTTTTGACACCAAAAATACATTACTGTACAAGTAGCTGATAATTGTGAAAGTGATTGGGGGCAAATTCAGGTTGGAGGCAAAGAAGGGGGGGGGGGTGTGATCATTGATCATGTCCCAAACGACTACATCAGATCAGTCAGTAAATATTAAACTTTTACAGTTAATTGATGTCAACATAGATTCAAACTCTTTTTTTTTTAGTTGGGGCTGTCAGCACGAGAAAGATGCAGTTGAAAGCTACACCAAGTGTCAGTCATCAAACCATGACAATCTCCATGTCAGAGATGTTGGCTTGTACATTTGCCTTGACCTCCCCTTTCTAGGGGCATCCCCCGATGCACACATCACCTGCACCTGTTGTGGAGATGGACTGCTGGAGGTAAAGTGCCCTTTTTGTGTAAAGGACTGTAACATCAGTGAAGGCTTGACAAGGAAGGACTTCCCTCTTGAGAGTAGCTCAGATGGAAAGCTGTACCTCAAGCATAGTCATCCTTATTATTTTCAGGTTCAAGCCCAGTTGTTTGTTTCCAACAAACCCTATTGCGATTTTGTTCTTTGGTCTCAAACAAAACCTGATGCTCCACATATTGAGAGAATATTCCCCAATGATGTGTTTCTTAAGGAAAATGTTGAAAAAGCAAAACTGTTTTTCAAAGTGGGTATTTTGCCTGAGCTGCTTGGTAAGTGGTACACAACATCTAATGTAGGCGAAGGGAACACCATTGCTGAGTGCAGTTCACAGACACAAGTAAATGTTTGTTGTTTTTGTCGTGAGGCAAACACTGGTCATGGTATGATTGAATGTCAATCTACTGAATGCAGAGTAAAAGTATTTCATTTAAGATGTCTTGGATTAACGGTGCTGCCAAAGACAAAGCGGTATTTATGCCCAAATTGTAAAAAGATTGAGGTTGCACAAAAACGTACAGCAAAGGTTAAAGAACAGTAAGTATATTCATAATGGGCAACCAATAAAATGAAGGGGAGAATTTATATCAAGGGGATGGTGTGGGAATGAGCCTGCATTAAGTTATTTTCCGAAGTAATTTCTGTGGGCATAATTTAGAGCTTCAAATCTGTTAAGATCAGTTTTAAAACTACATAGAGTAGCTTTTGCAGTGCAAACATTAAATACATGTACATGTACACACCCATAGTTGAGCAGTTATGGTAGCGTTTGTTTATGGTGTCAATCGAGGACACACATGTGCAACATCATCTATGAATCAAGGACTCCTCGGTTGGAAAATGTGTACAGAACCAATGAAAGCTGTTGCAAATAAGTTTAGAGTACAAACAAAGGAAAAGGGACGAGGAACAAAAACAATCCTTGATTTGCACCATAAACAAGGGGGTATGTACATGTCTGCATTAAATGGAGAAAGCTTTGTTTAGAAAGAGACATGGTGTTTAACAGGGGTGCAGCTGACCTAAAATGACACTTAACAAAGCATAATGACTCTTAAACAGGTCTGTACATCGTGGTACTTGCTAATACCAAAGAGGAAAATTCTACGTTGGTGTAGGGCAAAACCTAATTTGATTTATATCACCCCGGCGCAAAAAAATCCATCTTATAGGAAAGTTCTAAATATAATGGTGAATTTGGAAGTTTTTTCTCGTGAAATGCTGACCAATTTAGAAAAGTCTCAGCATTTCTAAATTTTGTTTTTGCAACCTGTTTAGGTGCCCTAGGTTATATATAAGTTATTAAACAATCATTAAAAGGAAGCGGGCGGGGACGCTTAACATGTTTTTTTTTATTTCGTCTAATTATGCTTGTAATTTCCCCTAAAAATTATGCACGTACAAGTTCCAATTGTGAACATGCACTTTGAATGATTATGAAGCACACAAGTTGTGTTTCCAATCTTGGACAGCGTTTTTTTAGTTGTGAACAAATTATTTCTGTTATGAACGTTGACGATTTTCTTCAACATCCAGCCTGTGCAGAAGTGTGATCAACAATTTGGCAACATCCTCATTTAATCAAATGGCACAATGGAAGTACATAGGTTAGTCAAGGCACAGGCTACATGCACAACCTTATCAAATGTTGTCATGTTTTCATCTTTCCTCATAAGCTTACAGATCTCTACAGGACCATTCAATACTTCGTACTTCTGCCTGACCAAACCTATTACTCTCTCAACATGTATTCGTACTGAAGCAAGTTTTCTTGTGGTCTCAGCTTCTTCCTTACTTAGTTGGCTCTTGCCCTTAGTAAAGGCAGGTATTTTTAGGGTCGCACCATATACACCTACTGAATCATGAATGTTGAAACCTCGGTCTGCCAGCACTTCATCGCCTGGTTGCAATTTGTACAAGATACCACAATTTTCAGTTATGTGTTTGTCACTTGCTCGACCCCCCCATCCCTTTGAAATGAAAATGATTGCTCCTTGAGGTGCAACACCAATCAAATATTTCAAGGTATTCCTGGCCTTCAAGGCGACTTGGCCCTTTGGTCACTTGATCGCTCCATTGTGACTTCAAAGCAGTCAATGATCACTGTACACTTTGGATATACAGATCTGAACACAATTGGAAGGGTTTTCCTTAATTCTTCTCTTTCAGGCCAAAACACAGCCATGGGAACCAACCTTGCATAAAGCACATCAATCACACTATTAACTGTTCTTGAAACAGTTGAGCAGTTCACATTAAATCTATAGGCTAAATCTTGATTACAGAGGTTAAGACGAAGGTACATAAGTGTCATTAGTAGCTGCTGGAACTTTGAAAGAACTGCTTTAGGATGAGTGTTCAGAAATGGTGAAATCTCCTGAAGAATAGTTTGAAGTAGTGTTAATGATGGAAGACCTGTGCAGAATTTGACCTTGTCATCATCTTTGAAGCTGTTTTCTGACAGTGACAAATGTTCTACAGTTTCTTTGAGATGATGATTTTCCTCCAACAGTCTCCTACACTTTAACTCAATGGAGGCTGCACTTACTGTATCTGAAGGGGAAGAAGTTGAAGTTGAAGCTTGCTGTGCAGATTGACATGACATAGATGGCTGATGCACTTGCAGACTCAGTAAAGTCTCTGCTGCTTCCTCTTGCAAATCTTGTTCCATTTGAACCTTTTCTAAGGCTTCAGTTTGCAAAGTCATTAGAGCCTGTGCAGCTGTTTCTTTAGCGGCATTCTCTCTCCTGCGAAGTTTTAGTGCCTCACGCTTTTCAAACCGTTCCAGAGCAGTCCTCTTCCGCTTCTTGTCAGGAGATGTCGTGTCTGGAAAAACTGAGGGAACATAATCCGGTGACAGAGGATTTCTGCTCTGTTTTCCTGCATAAGTAAGAGAAAAAAAATAAATGCGCATATTTATTTCATGTAGTTAAAACTCTGTTTCTGACTTTTTTTTTTTTTTTACAATAAACTCGGAATGTGCTATCCCTGATCCCTATTATACAGCCAACAATGGGGTTAGTGGGAGGGGACTGGGGTGCACTAGCTCAATTGTTCTCAAGGACACTGTTAGAAACAAATTAAGCTCATTTCCCAATTATTGTAATGGGACTTTGGACAAAGGCTCAACCTATGTACTAGTTGAGATTACAAGGCAAACAAATAAACCAGTAGAAACTGGTTAAATTGTTTTGCTTAGACCTATAATAACCGCAACTGCTTTGTTGGTTTCCTGCCACCTATTTTTTTTCTTTTTTCTTTTTTTCAGTTTTGTCTAGCCATCTGTCCATGTTCTGGCTATGATGATTTGCATTGTATGCTTGTGGTGGAATAGATGTTGCTTGAATTGGATCAATTTGAATAAATTGCCTCTTTTTTAAAAATTTCTTTCCAATAAAACTGTAGGCCTACATGTATCTTTTTTTGTACCTATATCACTTTGGACACCATATGCATTAGCAAAAGAAGCAAGAAAACAGAAAAATCTACATGCCATCTTGGAAAATCTGGCATCTTGGAAAACAAACGCTTGTCTTCTTTTAGGTTTATGAAAGAAAAACCTGCAAGAAACTAAATCATTTTTTACTTGGTCTTTTAGTCCCATATGGGGTGTTTTCCTCGTCATTTTCTAGCTTACATCATTGTTCAGAGTAAGAAAAGTTTACTGCATGCGTTTGAAATTTCTATTCTGTTTTTTTTTGGCTCAAACTTTAGAACTGTAGGCCATATTACTATAAGTTAACTGCAATTCTAATTTAAGAAATAGTCAACCAGATAAATATAAGAAATTGAAAAAGGGCAGTAAAGCCAAGCCCAAGCATGCCAAGCATTGTTGAAGCAGGCTCTGCTCAGATAGTCCTGAGTAACACTCAGCCTAAATAAGATGGCTTACTAAAGTCCTAGCATGCCTAGGCATATGCTAGGCAACGTCTCACCCATCACAATGGTAGTTATTTGAACAGGACGATTCATGGTTTAATGACGAAATGCTAGAATTTATTGAACTGTTATCGGTAGTCCTTCTGCTGAAGTGAAGATCCCACTTTAGCCGCCCTAGCTAAGTTAGATTAAAGCCAAGACGAACTTGCAAATGTCGAATTCACAAAATTTACCCACACAGGCTGCATTTATAGCCAAGGCCTAGGCTACATGACTTACCAGAAATGAAATGTGCACTACAGAGACGGCTCCCGTCATTCGGCATCCAACCCGGTTCACATTTTATTGCATTGATCCATTTTTGCCGACGCTCTTCGTCCGTAGGAAACCGATAGAAAGAAATGCCCGACCCGGCTGTTTTCCTGTGTTTACAACGCACCACAACACAAGTATGTACCATTTTGTACAAACCTTGACCCGAGCCTGGCGACGTACCGTACCCAGATCTCGATAAATTAACCAAAAAAGGAGGGCAAAGGTGACGGGTCAAAGGGGAATTGAGCGGAAGACGTCATGTGGCGGCGCCGTCACGTATATGCGTGTACAAAACTGTGTGTAATTTGACTCCCAAAATGGCGGACGACATCAAAACGTGGTAGCTATGTGACGTCATTGCAAGGGGTTAATACACACATGCAAGAGATAAAGGCAATTGCTGCGACAAAAACCGTTCCACACGCACGTTACCATTAACTAAGTAAAGTTCAATACTGCCGTTCATGTTGCGACTCGCCGTGTTCAAACTGTTTGTAATGAGTCATGTATCCCGGATTAAACAAAAAGAAAGGGTAATTATCCAAAATAAGGGACAGAGCAAGGTGAATGAGGAAAATGATAATGAAGGGGACGCTATAGATGAAGTTGATTGTGATGCCAAAGATGATGATGATGATAATGTATGATGATTGGAACGATGGGGGGGGGGGGGTGATGATGATGATGATGATGATGTAATTGACGGGGTGAGGAGGGATGTTGCGTACACGTACTTCACTGATCATGAAATCAAAACGTTGAGAATAAACAGCCGAAGCAACTTCAAAATTTGTGTTAACCTAGTTCGTAAGCTATTCAATCCTGCAGAATTCCGCCAGGGAAGGATTAAGGGCAGAATCCAAGGATAGGGTGGGCCAGTGCTGCAGGTAGACCCTCAACGCATGGTCGTCTCCAAACACAATTTCTTTCGCAGTGACTGGGCCAACAACAAGAAGGACTTATGGAGAAGATGCTGTGTCTCCGTAGGTGTTGCGGGCAGAGTGCTTAGTAAGCGGCAACATCAGCCGAGACACACCAAAGGCTACTTATTATTTTTTTAAGTTTTTGAGTAAATCATTTCTCATTTGTACATTTTAAAAAACGACTTGGCAATAAAAGTGCTCAGAATCTAAAGAAAACAGTATTCTAGGATCTTAATTCAATTTAAAAGTTGGATATTATTTTGACCTGCGCCTGAAAACAACATCAAGGACACATTCTACAGGGTGGTGCTTTATTGGATCTGATTGAATTAGCAATTGCCCTTTATTTAGAATTAAACTCCACCCGTGACGTCACATTATTGTCTTAGTGCTCCATTATATTGCTCAAATGGAGCATTGGAGGCGATTCCTCTCCATTCTTTTGGAGAGTAATAAAATGCCTCTTTCACTCCATTCCTAAAAAATAATGTAGCGGGATATAAAGAAACACCAAAAATGACACACTATAGTTTTGCACAGTTTCAACTTCACTACACCGTTTCTTAATGACGGTTTCATGCATTTTCTTATACGTTTTGTATCATGCTTATGTAATGGTTGTGTTGATTATATTTCTTGTTCTTCTATAATGACCCCTTTCTCTGGTTGTTTATTCACTACAAACCTTGCATTTACCTTGTTATTTATTCATGTGACTTGAGGGAAGTCTACTCAGTGTGACTCGAGACAAGGCTATACAAAGTATTGATTTTTCTAGTGGAGCCAAAAATAGTATTGATTTATGGAGCTGTGATTTTGAACTTGTATTTTGTGAATATTTCTTAGTCAAGGAAAAGGAACATTATGTTTAGATTTTAAAGAAGAATTATGCTTATCTTGATAAGAAATGTGTATTATCAAATTATTTGTCATCATAGGTTTGGCTTTAGATCACTTTTGTGGATTGTTCACTTGACGTGAACTGCACGTTGTTAATTCACAGCTCCCAAACCATGCATTCGCGGCAAGGCAGTGCCTGCCCGATCTTTACAGGTAAATGTATTGTACTTTTTTAGGTCATTTTTGAATGCAATTATTTCACCAAAAATCCAGATGATTATTACTTATGTGCCCTTTATTTTATCAGCAAATTATTATAGATTAATATGGTGGTAGTTTTGGAGGATGTAATGAAGTTTTTGGAGAGATTTTTGCTGTAAGATTTAGGGAGCACTGTGACCAAATGCACGAGGGTTAGCAACCCATGTTTGCACTGATGGCACACACAGTGTGACCATGTGCAGTGTGCGTGCGTGAGCAGTACATGTATTGTGATATGTAACTTACAGTAGTTTGTGGTTTAAGAGTGATTTTATTTGGACGTAGGCCTATATTGCATTATTGGGCACTTAATTGTCTGGAGACCAGTTTATAGAAATGCTTACAACTGTCACTGTCATATAGTTTTGGAAAGTTCATGTAAGTTGGTGATCATATTGTGCATTTTAGGGACGGATGTGGGTGCTTGCGGTGTGTGATAGTGTGTGCGAGTGTTGGTCAGTCAGTGCGCAGGGCCGGCCTGTCTGTTTGTGATTCCATCCTTGGGTGCTCGATGCGGTCACCATACTTGCATATAGGCTTTTCACTCTTGGTAATTAACTGGGTAATGTGTGTACATCTTTCTAATACATGTACGCTTATTATTTCATGAGTTACACATGTACATTGTTTGTATTTTGAAATGAAACTTATGAGTGCCTGCCTGATCTTTACAGGTGGCCCCAGGGGCCGATTCAGTCTGAATAAACAGTCAGAGCAAGGGAGATTTAGTTTCCGTGTCAGCACTCACTCACAACTAGAACCTGCGTGCCCCCCTCTTCCCTTACTCCAGAACCAGACCAGAGCCCCCCTTCCCTGAAGTCCCCGCTAGAGACCCCTCACACTTACCTAAGTCAAGAACCATATTTTTCTCATGCAGATTTGTGTAATAGGCCCTACATCGATTCTCAAATGGAATGTTATGCATCATTTGTAAGATTCCGTGGAAGTTAAAAATCATTTGTGTTTCTTATACAGCATGCTAAACCGTTTTTCAAATATAATTTTATGCATTTTCTTACACAATTTCTTACAGTGTTTAGTCGAAAGTCAAGAACCTTTTGTTTTCTTGTACAGAATGTTCGCAAAAAGTAATGGAAACGTATGTTACATGTAACAATATAAACGTTTCAACGAAAAATGCTTCGCAATTAAAGCAAATGTTTTGACAAGGTTCGCAATACAATTTATATCGCAATCTTGTTTCTGGCTTTCAATGCCAAGCATGCATACATTTTTGATCTGCAAAAACTGGACAAGAAAAGTTGAAGAAAATCACAAGTCGTGCAATGTAAATCCAGCCTGGAAAACCTGTCGCCGTTTTGCTTCAAAAATGCACCAAAATCTTAATCTTGCAATTTTTAGTGGTTTTCCTTGTCCAATGACGAGTAGTTAAAGTTTCGAGTTGCGTTGGTTATGCCGTCGATGAAGTAGTCCGACTGGAGACTCCCCGCTAGTTTTGACTCTGTTCATGACACTTTGTACTTTGACATATAAAAATCCAAATTCATCCCAAATTTTGATGAATATTGTTATACTCATTCAGTATGGCGACGTGTTTATTTATGTGTATCGCAGGCTATTATGATTATGAAAATTACCGTCTTCGTGTATTTGTCATATTTATTGTTTTTGAGCTCTAGCCCAAGCCAATATCCGACAACATGAACTTACTTATCCGTGTCCATTAAGCGCGGCCTACATGCTAATTGCGATTGTATAGGATGGGATTTTTCTTGTCGTCTCATGTCACTTCAGTCAGTCGGGGAAATCCGTCGATCGGCGTATACGCCTTTTGCAAACTGACCGTTGAGGGCGTTATACTTCGTTTGGCGGATAACGTAGAATTATCTTCTGATTGAGGTATATATTATTCCGCGATTGAAGGATTTCCAAAATATTGGGGTTTAGAACAAACGCTGGCGGGCACATTTAAGCGCCGTTTGGGCATCCATTTCTGTACATATTCGAGAAGAACGCGAAACATTAAGGTAGGTAAATCCAGGATGAAATCAACCGTTGTCCAGCGCGATTTCACGCTGTGACCGGTCAAAGTTCTTGCATGGGCATTGGGATACCTTGAGGCCGTTTCGGGCAGGTTGTTAGCTGTTTTAGCAGTATTTTTCAACCATTATTCATCCGACTGTTGGCTTGGGACCTATGTCACCATGGTACGAGTGTCCGAATTAGTTTGCTACGGCTAGAAATTACACATGTGTCTATGGTGGCGTCAGCAGCCACTTCCCATATACTCGTGTAATTTCAAGCCGTAGATAACCGAATTAAGACAAGACTCACTTTCGACTAACAGCCTCGGTGTGATTGTTCTTGAATGCATGTTGCTCTACTCATCATCAGCATATTATTTTCATGAGCAGCATTAGCATTGTCTTCATGCGCCCACATTGCCATTGCCTGTTGATCGTCAATCGCGTCCTCGATGTGATCATGCAGCAACAGGAGGTCATCTTTCTTCAATCGGGGACCGAGATGGGTGAGAAAAAATGCAGCTGTTTCCTTCCTTGCCAACTGTGTTATCATGCTTGTTATCGCAGCTCGAATTTTGTCACGCAGATTGGCTCTAATTGTGGAACACTACCCTGTGTTGCACCCTCTACAAAAATTGAGTGAAGTTTAGCAGTATTTCTGTAAAATCTACAAGGTCGGGGTTAAGCTTTTGACCCGAAAGCGAAACATGTTCGCAGGAAATTTCAGGCTGGTTTAGATACTCTGCCTTCCTTATTTTTTGTCTCCAAGCCTGAACTTCGTGCATAAAGGAATTTGGATCTCTACAAATGTCGTCTTCGATGTCTTCGGGCTTTCTTTCCATTCGCTCCATTGTTCCATCTTTGATCTATAGACATAAACCATTCTATTTTTAAATATTATATTATCTATCTCATTTACTCGGCAGGCGAACGAGCTAAGTGTAATTAGCCAAAGTAGCGCTGCCGTCAGCATCATAAACCAACGGGGTCGGCAGTATGAGCGCCGTTTTGGCCCAAATGCCGTCACCACCACTGATCACCAATATTTGGCACCCAGCACCTGCACCAAGACGCCAAATCCCGAGCCTGTGACTGATCTCCACACAGCCGAGGTGCAGGTGGCCCCAACAACGGAGTCGGTTGCCACACAAACACTTGACATTGACAAGGCCGAGTCATCTGCAACAAACACACCCACGACCAGCGGAAAAATGTCTTCGGTATATGCCGCGCACAATGTGGTATATCGTACGGTTCAGCTGCAACCAAGAAAATGGGAGCTTGGGTAGGCTGTAGCGTGAGGCAATGCAACTACTGGGTGCACGGCCGATGCCTTGGATATGTAGGCAGTTCTGAGGTACCCTTTGAGAAACTCAGTTTCTATTGCCCGAGGCATCGTCCGAAGCGAGCCCTCCCACCGAAAAACGTGCACAAAACCACAATGAACTTCAATTCAAAAATGGTTTCAATTTGGACACGGTAATGCCTTCCCTAGTTTACAATGATTGCATAACAAATGAATGAATTATCCTGAGGAAACGTAAGCGTTAATTTCTTCTCAATTGTTAAATAAAAATCGAATTTTCAATTGGAACACTTGCCTCATGCAGTTAATCTTGATTGTTACAGGCTCGTCGCCATTGTTTTTCGTCAGGGACTCCGAAGCCCAGCGTTTGATCTTTTTGTTCTTGTTCTCTAAGATGAAGTCTGCCGCTTCCCCTCTAGTTTCACCACCTGAAACAGAAAACGATTGTCTGCCCTGCATATGGAGGAGAACTTCTGCTGGGTAGCTCAGCCGCTGGCATACATCTCTTAATTCTTGTTTTCTGTATTTGGGGTGGTTGCGAACACTCCACACTGGAGCGTAGATTCTCCTGGCTGTTATCACTGCTTCACTGTTGTTTCGCCGCACCCCTCCTCTGAAGAAAAATATAGCCAGCAGATATTGAAAAACCATCTCAAACAGGTACTTGTAGTTCGGGCTCTTCACCTTTGATGTATACATTGTCAGGAAGCCATCGGCCGTTATCTCATCCCCTTCTTTGAGGCAGTTTCTGACGTATCATACGACTAGCTCATCAGCTGAACCTTCCAAAACGATGAATAACATCTGTCATTTTTTTGATGATCTGATGTTTACCTGCAATATTTTTGAGCTTTGTCAGTTCTGAATCCCAGTAGCTCTGCAAGGGGCTGCAAGAATACCTCCCAGTAAAGGCCGAAAAAGACCGACACATGTTGATTTCGAAGTGACCTCCACCAGGGCGAAGTGCTAACCATCCATACTTCTCGTTGTCTGATTCAATTAGCTGGGCGAGAATAAGGTACGGTAGGCCATCACATACAACAGTGACCCACTTTCCTTCCACTTTTATAACGCGCAAACACCCTACATACCCTACAACGGGGAAACCAAATGTTTTTTTGGTATGTTTGCACGTTATACGTGCATTATGTAGGTGTTTTTTTTTTTTTTTTTTTGGTGCAGTGTTTGACTGCATGAACAACAACAACCAAATGTATACAATTGTATATTCAACTTCTAATAGATCAACGTGTTAGCGGGGGGGGGGGGGGGGGGACGTATTCTCTGTTTGCTCTCGTAATGGCACAGGCAATGATCAACGCTAGGCTGTCTACCGTTAAACGGAGCGCTGAGCTCCATGGTACGGGCAAGCATCCACCCGCTAAGAAGGCCCGCCCTTTGTTGGAGTTTTCTACCGTGCACAAGACGGGTGTGATCGTCCAAAGAATCAATCCTCACGCCGATGTCCCCGTGCCGGCTATCCTGGAGTTGTGCAAGGCTGAATTAGGCGATTTTCAGTATTGCATTTACGAGCACGACCCTGCCAAGGGGGGGGGGGGGGGGGGGGGGGTTAGCCTGCAAGGTCAGGGGTCTACATCTTCACATGGTGGTGGTCAGCAGCAGCGCCTGGCGTGATTCATGGCGAGTTCGTCAACTGTCCAAGCGCGTTCGTGCCGCCTGTTGTGAAATGCAGGGGGTGGCGATACGCGACCCCAAGGCCATGATCACTTACCTGTCTATTCCTCCTCGTACTGTCATCTACGAGCATCTACCGGAGAAGCGCAGTGAGATCGACCCCATCTTCCGCATCACTCCCACCGAAGATGAGATTGACAAGATGAGAACCGTCAAGATGATGACCCGGGGCACTGCGGACGAGCCGAAGGGCAAGTACCCCGATGGAGGCGAGTATGCGGCCAAGACGGATCTTCAAGTGCTGATGGATCTCATGTCCAAGTGGTCCCCCCGCTCCTCGAATGATTTTGTCACTCGGGTGATGCGGTATGAGTCTCCCCAGGTGAAAGCCCGGGTTGAGAAACTCTATTTCCAGGCCAATTGGAGGGATCGGTTCACCAAGGCCCGTCTTCTGATGCAGATGGGATGTCTGGAGAATGATATGGAGACGCTGGAGAGCACCTGGGAGCAGAATAATCCCCCCAACCCTCCGAAGTACCACACCGTGGAGGAGAGAGTGTACCTGGTAGCGCGGTGGTGTACCCATCAGGGTATTCTTCTCAACTTTCTGGTGAACGAAGTGACTGCGGTGATGGACAGGTAAGTAAACCGTTATACCCTAGGACTCAAGACTTCCCGATCCCTTTTTTCTAAACACTCATCTTATACTAATTTTCTTTTTTTACAGGACTACCCCCAGAAAAACTGCTTGGCCCTCATTGGTGAATCCAATGCGGGCAAGACCTGGCTTGTGAATTCACTGGTGGATCTTGCAGTACATGTGGGTGAAATCTCCCAAGGCAGCGGAGGTTATGCCTTCATGTGGCAGGAGTGTGTAGACAAGCGTATGATAGTACTTAACGAACCCTATCTGGATGCCTGTGTCATTGGTAAGTGTCCACTTTTTCATACCAACGCGCTTATCTATTGCATTGTGTATTGGCCGCGTTGGTTTACCAACTCGTCCCCCATTGACTTGTGTACAAAACTCGTACCCCATTATAACATGTGTGTTTGTACTTTAAACTTTTCAGAAAAGGCAAAGATTGTTCTAGAAGGCCAGGAGACGATGGTGCCCGTTAAGCACCAGGCGGAGGCTTTCCTTGCACGCACCCCAGTCTTTGCTACTGCCAACCACCCCCTGTGGCGTTTCGCCGTGTCAGAACAAGAGGCCATCCGCAACAGATGTTTTGTGTATGAGAACCTTCGGGCCTTCCCCCTCCTCGCCGACTACAGCCGTCGCTGCCATCCTCTCGTCTGACGTGCCCTGAGAGAACTTATAGAGAACGAAGCGGCCAGTGAGCGGTCATCTTCCCGCGGGTCACCAACGACTGAAGAGGTATGTTTCGCAGTATCTCCGCTCGAGTTAGCCAGGCTGCAGAGCCCCCCGAGCCCCCCAAGCGTTCTAAGCCCATCGCCATCCAGCGAGTTGACCGACGTCGTGCCAACAACCCCTACGTCCTGCAGACCTGGCCGGGTACCCCCACTAACCTTGCCGCGGGCGCGGTTCAACATGATGGACCAGCGGTGGAGCAGCGACGAGTCCGAGCCGGCTTTGTCTCCGACCCCGCCAGACATTAAACCTGTGTTGGTACCTACCGTTCTTCCTTGTACTTACACCCCCGGCAGTGTGATCGACTTGTGTTCGTCAGACAGCTCGTCTTCCATCCCTTGCGGTCAACGCCAACAAGATGCCCCTTTCCCCGACTCCCCCGATTTGTTCTCCGATGAGTCGTCTTCCCTTGGTGGTGACGGTAGCCGCGTGACCACGGCCTCCGAGCGTGCTGACGAGTTGGAGTTGGAGCGGTTGTGTGCTGCCAGCGAAGCAAGCTGCCGACTGTGCGTCTGGCCCCTTCGACCTCACCCCTTCCAATCTTCCCTCTACCTCTGCCATGGCCACTCTTCGTGACAACGAACGTCGTGTGCGTGGGAAGGATTCCCGTACATACGATCTTCTCACCGAAGCGTGCAGAGTGTTGAACAACACCTCCCCGGATAGCCTCCACACCGAATTCCGCGATCACATTGAACTGTAAAGTAGTACTGCGGCCCACAGTTAACCTGAGGTTTAAAGTTGTTTTTTAAAGGGAAATAAAGTACAGTAACCATTTTTAGTTAGGGCAGTGACCATTATAATTGTATAAATGTAAATAAAGTTGTGTTGTGTTTAAAATAAAATAAAAAAAATAAAAAAAATCTCTTATGCAAAAACCAATGAAGAGTCAATGACGCTGAGGTTTTACTACATTTGAGACCATGTTGTCCGAGTGGAAGGATGTGTTGGTCCTTTGCTCTCTTGTGCAATTGAATTACATTCTGTATGAAGCTTGTCGATTTGTATATATTGTGTCTGCGGTCAGCTATAAACTTCGTTCAACTGATCCTGACCGACCTCCGGCGTATGAAAGCTAAATGTCTACCGAGGCGTCGCCGTGCCAAGGGTGTTGGGAGTGCTGGTGGGCGTTCTTCTGGACCGTCGTGATCTGCTGTTCCCTGACTATATTAATCATGAGTATTCCGTGCTACATTCAGTATTCCCGCAGTCGTCGGTGCGAGCTGACCTACTGTCGTGTGCTGACGTCCGTCTGTGCTATCGGTGATGCCACCCGCCAGATATCCGAGCAACTCGGACGATACGCAGAGAGATCAGCTAACCCGTCTGAACTTCGAGCCCAAAGATCTGAACGAGCAGGATCAACTCAATCTCGCCGAAGTTCTCCTCGATTCCCCCTGCCCCATTAAAGTTGACTATAAACAGGATTGTTCTGATCAGCAACTTGTCCATCGTCTTGAATGGGTTCGTCTGTTAACGCGAGAGTGGCAAGACCAGCACATTGATGGCGAACGACAGGTCGGGTACCCTTGGAACAATCCTTACGAACGCCTGGACAACGATCCGTGGGGTGTTGAACATGTTGGTCCCGTGTTTCGCTCCGCCACGGAATGCTCGAAACCCTTCATTCCCTTTGCCGCCCACCTTTGGGGATATAACTACTGCAGACCGGGTACCCACGATTATAACCGCAAACCCATCAACCACCTCGACCGACTCTGCCAGATACACGATCACATGTATGCCGACGACCGGTGGTCTACAGAGCAGGCGGATAAAATCTTTCTCTGGAATCTCAACGTCACCCCCGGGATCTCCGCCCAGGCCATTAAGACTCTCTTTCAATCCAAGATCTGGTTCGACATGCTTTCCCAGCTCTGAGTGACTACGTCTTTCGTCCCAATGCTGGGGGTAACTATCATTTCGAACATACGGAACGTGTTTATGCCGCCTCCACCAAGAATGCCACCAAAGATGCGTGGAACATTCCCATCTCTGCTGCGTATGTTGAACCCGGCACCGCCAACCAGCGGATCCAAGACGGACAGCACGGGAATTTGATGAATGTGTTGCTGAAGGAACCGCGGAGCAATGCTGAAGCCGTCGCCTTGGATACGCGTTGGTTTAATGTTGATGTCGGCCGGTCGCGGGAACGAACCGTAGAGATTATTGGAACTGAAGTGGTCGACCCCACGCAGCAGGATCAGTGGCGTGTCTACATCAGTGTGAATTCCAACCCTCAAGATTTTTACTTACCCACTAATGAAGCCTACGATCAGATTCCGATATTGTACTGGTTCTACTCTACTTCTGGCCGTAAACTGTTCCAGGTCCATTATGATTATCGGATCAGAGGCGGTGCTCAAGGACAGGGCGATGACCGTCTCGATACCGAAGGGCATGGTTTGGCTTATGTGTGGATGGAACCGGACGAAGCCATGCGGCGTCTTGGCCGGCCCACTGTCTCTGACCACGGCCACCCGGTGGATTTTCCCAATGTTCTTCCCTTCAAAGGGTTGGCCGCTGCTAAGATGAGTGAAGCGTTTGCCGGTTTTATTACGGATCCCCACTACGACAACCCGGATCCGGGATCTGTTGCTCGTCCCAGCGGAGCCCGTAATTGGTATACGGGAACTGTTGATGAGGTCGGTCCTAAACTTATTGATCTTTACCTTCCTACTCTGGCCGACCGTAACATCCCCTACAGGTATATGCTTGTGGGAATGAACAACGATTACCAGTGCAGTCTCATCCGTCCGTACTACGAATCCAAGAACAACCTGTTTCAACCCGGAGCCGAACACGACTTGATCTTCCGTACGTCCAAGCGTTCCATTGATCCGGGACACGTCTACGCCTACTGGGGTGACGACCAGGGTTTGCTGACATGGCGTGTCAAACCCGTGGTGCGTGCTTTCCTCGCCCGTACTCAGCAGCTGATGACATTGAGTGATTTGTGGGATCGTGCCACTGACTCCCGTTCTCCCGATTTTGAAACCCTCGCTACCGGGTATGTCTCTCCCCACACCGATCTCGATCTTGGTGGTGAGCCTCCGGAAGACGAGGATGGTGGTGAAGAGTATGATAGTCGCGGAGAAGAACCCTATATAGAGCTCGAACCGCAGCCAGTTCCCCCTCCAGAGCCCGAGCCGGAAGCACCTATCAAGCCTGCTGCTCCCGAACCCCAACCTGAGCCTCCACCCGAACCTGTCGAACCTGAACTTCCGCCCTTGCCGGATCTTCAACCCAGAGAGGATCTTGACGACCTTCCACCCGAAGAGGAGCCTGCACCGGAGCCCGCACAACCGCCGAAGCAACCCGGCGTTCCCGAGACTCCCCCCGATACTCCTGCCAAACAACCCAAGGGTGATATTCCTGCCGGAGCGCATGTTGTACCGGGCCCTATGACTACTACCCCGACCGAAGCAGATCGACAAGGTGGCGTCTCTGAGAACCCTATACATCACGACAAATCTGATAGTTTGGAAGGTGTTCCTGGACGTCATAGCTACTCCAAGACTTTTACGTACTATATCGAAGTTTCTCAAAACGAGGGTATCAAACTCGAAGGATAAAAATGGCTGCTCAACCATGGCATGATGAGTATACCGTACCACTACATCAGGGCCTCCATGACTCCCCACGATTTTGGTCTACTCAACATGATGTACGGGGCGTGGAGGATCCACAAACAAGGTTTTTCGCATGGGCGATTTCGTGCCTTTGATAGACAAAGCAGCCACCGTAGGGGGCGTCGTCACTTTAAAGACGAATTTCCTCACCCATCTCAACCACTACGAGGTGTTCAAGGACGGCGAGGATTATTTTGGCGCCAACCACCGCGCCGTGCCGTCCGACGACCAGCAGCCCAACCTGAACTTCCAAGCGAGCGAGCTGCTGCAGAGGCAGTCGATGAAGTAACCGATTGTAAAAAAGGACGTTACGAGCTATGTCCAGAACTACATGCACGAGCATACAACCCGATCTCTGGATGCTACTACTCTGACAGCGATGGAGAGGTGGGCGGTGGTGAATCTGCGCCGTGGGAACCAGAAGTACTGGAACCAGAGCGTTGGCCAGCCCCTGGTGCACACGTGGACCAACACCAACCCTGTGTTCTGGCCGACTCAGATCCCGAAGAGTTTTTTGGACCGCGAGAGAGCCCTTAAAAGCGTGAACATTGACGAGGTGTCTCACAGAACTTTCACGAACCTCGACCCGTACGGTAATCATTCGGAGTTCCTGCCCAACTACAAGCTTCACACGAGATGGATCCCGGGGCGCGCCCACGCGCCGATGCTGTACGTGAAACCGCAGAGCTCGGACGGGGAGACCCTGAACCTACAAATCTATGGGGGCAAGAATATGCAGACCTTGACTGGACCCCAGATGAAGGGTTCTCCCGAAGTGTTGGTGAAACTGCCCGTGTATCTGGACGCCAACGACAATCCCATCCCGCTGGTGTGCAAGGTGCAAGTAACGTATTTTTGCGAGATCGATACCGTGCCCCACGGAACCAACATGGGCAACTGGATGGCACCGCGGATCCACAGAGCAGAAGCGCACTAAGGCCGATGACGGGTACGGTTCCGACGGCGGAGGAGCAGTTAGCCGGCCAGAACGTATACAGGACCGGGGAGCTGGGAGCTTTCAGTATGGGAGAAGCATCGTTCCCCCCGGATGTCACACCGAACTTCATGTGGTAGAGGATGACGTGGTCCCGGATGGAGGAGCCGGAGAGTTCGACTATTTATCACGCATGATGGACAGTTTAATGCTTGATCTTTTGTGTTGCCAAGGCGACGCCGCTGGTTTAAAGTCTAAAGTGTTGCGCCTGTTAGAGAAGCATGACGGTCAGGAAGAGGTGTTGTCCTCGTTAGGCTATATTTAGAAATGGACCAACGCGGTACAATTTTATCTGTGTATTAACCGCGTTGGTTTGCCAACTCGTCCCCCATTGCCCGTGTACATATGGTACGACCAACGCGATTAGTTTAGCTTTCTCAAGTGCGTTGGTGCGTTGGTTTTGTATTGCGGAGTATTCAATTACATGTGTTTGTACTTAAACATTTATTGGTTCAGTGTTACTGTTGTTAGACAATGTTGTGGATTCAATGGTTAATAAATATGTTGTGGTCTGGTACCCAGACGTCTTTGTGTGTTGTGTCAATGACTTTGTATGAGAGTCTCTTCAGATGCAGTGCGCGTTGGCGCGGTGGACCCCCCGCGTTGGACACAACACGATGATCTATTTGAGAAAGTTGAATTGTATTCAATTGTATACATTTGGTTGTTGTTGTTCATGCAGTCAAACACTGCACCAAAAAAAAAAAAAAAAAAAACCTACATAATGCACGTATAACGTGCAAACATACCAAAAAAAACGCGAAATCCTACAACAGAAACCCTACAGGCCCTAAGGGCCCTTACAAGAAAATAACAAGAAATGCTCACTGCTGACCCCTTGTACTCCAAGTATAAAAGCTATGTACATTTACTGCAAACCTTGTGCCATTGCTTCCATGCCAGTCTCTGCTTCTGTTGCTCATAAAAATGGTTCCTGCTCACCGTAGATGAAGAAATCGTGCTTACTGTATGATTATAATATAGCATAGCAAGGAATTTTGGCTCATGCACTACGCTTAAACATTAAGCACCAAGCCACAGGATGTTAGCATACATGTATATTTAGATATTTATTTATATATTTCTTCTTTATACTGTGTAACCCTTTCAGTCCTTTTATGAGGACTGATCTCCCATGGGTCCCAGTATGATACAATAAAACTTGATTTCAACATAGATAAATTAAAAACCAAATTATATTACAGCATGTGCAAAATGCAAAATATCTTGCTATCCCTTGAAATTCGCTAACAATTAGCACATAATTGTCTGAAGTTAGTATCAATTCTTCACTATGG